TCGTCTGCATCTGTCCTAGCGAGGGGAAAAGTTGCTGCTTTCCACAATAAGCATCCGATGTCTTGCCTCTGCCTGCGGCATTCTCAAGAGTCCAGTTGTTGATACACAGATTGAAATAGTTAGTTGCAGTGGTACCTTGCTGCTCTTCATTGCCGGGATTACCGGTGCTTGGTACCATTGCCATAGAGCTAACTAAGGACAACAAAAGTAATGCTGGAGGCAGGGTAAAATCTACAAAGCTCTCGGGCTGTGATGTGAGCCAGGCCTCTGCGATTTTGTCCAATCGCGGGTATTTGCTTGCAACATCCTCATTGCCGGGGCCGTAGTCGTAGGATTCTTGCGAGCCCAGCCCGACTCCCGCATCTGTCTTTCGAGTTGGCAAACTGTGTTTAGAAAAAAGAATTCCGAACTCGATCCAGTGCCGGCCTTTGACAATGGAATCCAACTCTTTCAACTGCTTTTCTCCAGGACCAACAAAGCAAACATGCCTCAGCATCGTCGCATCATGCGGCTGCCAATTAGTGGATCTTTCTCGTAGCTCTTCTTTCGAAAGATTAAGCCTGATCTTCATGTCGACTTTTACATGGGGCTTGTCAGATCCCTTTTTGCTCTCTGGGTTGGTACTTGCACCACCAGGGGATGCTTCTTCATCGTACCGCAGCACAGACTGAATCTTCCTGAGATTCGTCTCCAGATCGGCAGACGTACACCAACGTGCAAAATTTCCGATGCTGAGTTCTTTCCTCAAGTCCTCATAAGAGTCACAGGCATGCCAGCTGCGCAAGTCCTCAAAGAAGTCTTCGACTCGAACGTCAGCCTTGCAGAACTTATCCGCCATCTGCACCAAGCATTCCCTGACCAGCTTCTCGTCTGACAACTCGCCCAACAAACTTACGAGAACCGTCTTCGGAACGAGACCCCCCTCGAAGTCCTGAGGCGGGTTGAATGAAGAGAAGTACCAGCGCAGCACATGCACACAAAGTGATGCAGTTACCACGCACCCACAGACACTCAGACGTTGAAGCACACAGTAACATCCTGGCTGAGGATTCGGAGCGCTTTGGCCAAGAGATCCTCGGAGTGAGCCGCCGAGGCGACGCCGTCGGACATGGCTCGCTGAGAAAAAGGCGGGCCTTTGGCCTTTCTCTTTGATTTTCTTCGAGAGCTGCAGTCTGTAAGAGCTTCGGAGGAACTTTCAGGATGCTGCCTCTGGGGATCTACGGGGCCTGTGGATGCCTTGAGCCGACGGAGACGAACGACTCCGTTCCATCTGCTCTTGACTTTCATTGGCGACTCAGGCCCGTTCCTCCGACATCAAGTGGAAGAGCACCTGCCTGGGTCCCGTGCCTGTCCTGTGCCTTCCCTATGCTCCGAGGCGAAAGAGGCGCAGTCACACCCTTCAGTCCTTTAACTCCTTTCGCATGTCGCTTCGGCACTCGTGCGGATTGGAGAGCGCAAGCATTAGCTGCGACCGCTTCAAATGGAACGGGACGTCATAAAGCCGTCAGCTGAGTTTCTCTTGCTTAAGTGAGGTGTAGCTGGAAACATGGCCGTCTTCGACGGCTCCAGCCGAGCCTCGCGACTCTGGCAAGCGGCTGAGAAGCGCTCGCCACCTGCAAGCTGTTAAGCTGCAGAGTCCGCACTCAGGGGCCCATGCCCATTCACTCCCATTCACTCCCGGCTGCCATCCAAGAAGCTTTGGTATTAGAAGGGCCAGGAAAATCGCTGCGCAGCACATGGTCAACACCATCTGCAGGAGCGCATACGTCCACCCCATCGTCCCAGCCTCAATGCAGCTTCAGCTCACAGTTCAACCGCGCCTTCAAAATGCTGCCTTCTGTCTTGACTGGCAAGTCCAGTTTCATTACAGCGGTTTGCAGGAAGCAAGTGTAGACCAAGTGAACAAAATAGGCTCTTCTTACCCCTGTCGAGCTCGGGTCACGCAGAAGATGGCAGGTCGCAAGAGTGGCTCGGAAGGGACTTGGCCTCCGGGCTACATGCAGCAGCACCATGTGCGCCTCGGCACAAGACCCCGAGTATATAGCCGGGGCATCAAGCTGCAATGCGCTGAGCGAAAAGCTGGCATCATGCTGCAGAAGGACGTCAACCTCAGCTCAGCTGCGGCCGAACTTCGCCCTCTGACCGCCTGGAATTCTGCTGAGGAGGGGGCTCGAAGAAACCAATCAGAGTGGCACACTCTGTGCCCATTAAGTCGAAAGCAAAAAGGTTGGGGACCAGGTAGTACGGCAAAGCCTAGTTGAAAAAGACACCAACACACGAGGCGCTTTCTCTGTGCTGCCCTTTTCTGGGAGCCCAGCGCAACAGAAGGCGACAAGAAACCTTGGCTCGTCGGGCTCACAGTGATCCCAAGCTGAGGTCGGTGAGGCCGTCGAGCGACAGCGTCACTGCCACGATGGCCACCGTGCACGCCGATGTGTCCGCTTCCGCTTCGGCTGCCTCACACCATGTGATTAAAGGCGCAGGGCACAACCGGCGGTGGCTTATAAGACTGACTTATAGGACTTCCTGTAAAGGGCCCAGGCTGCGATGACAAGGAGCACCGCGAGCAGGGCAGCCGCCACTATGCTGCAGGCGACATAGAGCTGCTCGCGCTGGCGCCGCTGCCTCAGAAGGGGCACTTACGACTTACGAACGATTGCCATCGGCGGATGCTTGTTCCTTGAAGCCTCCGAACACAAGCCAAAAGCCTCCAGAAGCCTTGAGCCAGAGGCACAGGAGATTTCCTTTCCAAGCATTCAGGGCCATGGCGGCGATGCCGCCTCCTGTGCGAAGGAAAGCGTAGCCGAAGTACGACAAGCGAATCGTCGGACAATGATTGCTCTGAACACGCCCTACTGGGGATCTTCGGACCGAATTTCTTCCATGAGGAAGGAAAACGTTGCGTCTTTTTCGGGTGCTCTGTGCTTTTTTGCGATTCTTCGTGTTTTTGCGACGGAGTACGCGCTGCACCCCGACTCCGCTGGTGCGCGACCTGCAAAAGGCGCTCGCTGAGGAGTTGCTTCCGCCTGGCGTGCTTGTCCGTACCTGCGCAGCCTGCGCTCCTCTGCCCTCGCTTGCTTAAGTTACTTCCCTGCTCGCCTCACTCCTTGGCTTACTTTTGTTTGCGCTCGCCTACGGCACGTACGGGCCTGGATAAACGCAGGACAGGACGACGCTCTTGGACTTCGTCAGCCCCTGGAAGAGGAGGGGCATGAAGTCGTCGGCGTGCTGCACATGGCAGAGGAAGGCAAAGGCTCCCGTCACCAGCCAGACCGTTGGCTCCTGGGGCACTTTTCAGCCGATCTCTGCTTCGCTCTATCTCTCTCTAAGATGCACCCTTTCTCTCCGGTCCTTCAAGACATCTCCGATGGCTCGACTTTGGCTTCTGGCTTCGGGTGCCTGCAGAGTGCCAGGGCTGCCGCCAGCGGAGGTCTAGGGAGTCGAGTGAAAGTCTGGTGGTCCTTCTTGCTCGAAGTCAGGAGCCCTCGCATCACGAGAACGGCGATTCCTGCGACGGATAAAAAGAAGGCAGGAGCCGGCCTCACAGGCGGGAGCCGGCCTCCGGCGACGAAGAGGAGCTGCGCAGCCTGAAGCAGCTGCGCCCCCTCACCCCAAGATGCAGAGGCACATGAGGCACGCTGCACAGATGTGGCACCAGATGACGCCGCGACTCCGCACATCTCACGCGGCACCTGCCAGGCGATCTGCCTCCAGGTGAAGCTGCGCAGCAAGACCTCGCATATCGGAAGCTTCTTTTAAAGCCTGCTTCAAGGTCGGTGCTCAGCCTTTCAGACTCAAGCAATGTTGCTTGCAAGGTATGCCGGATCCAAGACTTTGAAAGCTGCGGCAACAGCAACAGCAAGACCCTCGGCAACTACCGCAACCCTAGCGACGGGCTCCCGGCTCCGAAGACGCCACGACCGAGGATCGCCCCGCCCCGGGAGGCGAAACCCAGTGTTGACACCGCCATGCCCTCTGCAGTTAAATGAGCCGAGAAGGAATAGGAGCGAGCGGGAGAAAGAGGCAGGGAGATCATCTCTCGCCCTATCGCTGAAAACAGCTAATGGTGCAGCCTGGTACTCCTCTGGAACCAGCAGCTTCAGCGCCTGTTTTGGTCATGCAGGCGTGCATGTTTCTCCGTCTACGCCACTGTACGCATAGATTCATGGGTCCCGAAGGTTCAAGGATGCTCGCGAGCAGTCCTAGGTCGTGGAAGGGTCTTCACACGGGCTCAGAGCCGGGAAGATGTGGGGACGTGGCGGCATTCTGACTCAAAAAGGTGTGCTCCGATAACTGGCACACTCACTCAAACCGCCGCGATGATACCTCTCGTCGTCGCTCGGCACTCTGCACGCTCCATGTTTCGCCCATTTGGGGCTCCTCAGGCGGTGCCTCTAAACTGAACGGCGTAGAAGATATCGCGCATCAAGCGGAGCAAGCTGCATGAAACGCAAGATTTCAGACAAGAAAAAATCCTTCCCAAGCTTCGTGAATGCCCACGCAATTCCACACCGTGGATTTTACACTCTGGACTAATTAACTTGCGCTGCGTACCTGTGTAACGCCCTTTCCCACACGCAAGGTGTTCGCTGGCCTTCTTATGACAACAACTTAGACGATCCCCGTCAAGCTCTGAGATCCATATCACGCGCCGTTGTAAAGGAGAGTGAAATTCATGCCCCCGGGTAATTCGCTCACAACGCCCGAAGGCCCGAAGCCAGATCTGGTGTCTCATTCTGCTCGCCTTGCCATGGTGTCCGTACGATCGGAGGCAAAAGAACCCGAAACAGTAACATGTCCATGTCCGACTGTCGCCGTCCTTGGACCACTGGGTGTCCACAGAACGCCGATGTGATACACTGAAATTCTGTGGTTCCACGTTTCCAGTATTGCCTGTCCTCAATCTTCAGTGAGATATGTCATATGTTGGAAATGAATTTAAACGATCTTCTCATTCCCTCCAGTACATCGAAACCACCAGCGAAAACTGAAGATTCTTGGGACAAGTTTGCTGGACAAGGCTTTTCCTGAAACACAATTCAAAGCTCGCATTTCGAAACACGTACTGAACAAATAGCTAATCTCAGGATGTCCAGTCATAAGCATTCTTGTACGTTGTATAACATGGCTGTACGCTTGTAGGTCTGATGCTGTATAGAGTATAGAGTTCCAGGTAGAAATATGTAAATATGGACCAGAGGCACCCTGGAAGAGAAAGCGCCTTCATTTCCGCTGGCCAGCCAGAAGCGTAGGAGAAGCGGACGAGGATGCTGCCCAAGACGAAGGCAGCCTGCGTCTCAGCCATGGCCAACACGGCCACGCCCAAGCTGCAGCCTGTTCAAGCGCTTTTTCTGCCGCGATATGACAGGAGGAAAGAGGGCGGAGGGCTCCCCTTTTTTCCTGGCCTCCCAGAGCGACGGAAAGGCCAAAGACGACCCCGAAGCCTACCGGGGCAAGAGATGCCATCTGTTTTTACTTGAACAACATGATGGCAACTTCAATTCTGAGATTGGAATGAAGACATTCGATGTCGGAGGAGTGGGACATGGAAGCTTCGCTTCTTCACTCCCTGAGTTGCTCGCGGTCGATCAGCGGACCGTGGACCCCGTAGCCCAGCGCTGCGGCGAGGGCCGCAAAGCCGAGCACCAAGCCGCAATCCGAGGTGTTCCAGCCCTCCTCCAGCAACAAAACAGACTGCGACTGCACTCTTTCACGAAAGGCCGGAGCACTGAAGCATCCTTTTGGAACGAGAAGCTCCTGTGTCTCTTGATTGTGAGAGAACCTGAGAGAACTCTGTAGAAGACTGTGACTGATGCGAAACTTCGCTAGACGGTTTGAGGACAGTCGAAGCGCTGTGATTTGGAGGGTTATAGAGGGGTCCGTGAGGCGAATTGCAGCGGCCCCTCCCGGCTCTCCTGGAAGTCTGCGTCCTCCGGCAAGTAAGGCAAAGAGCAGGTGATCACCTGCCCGCAGAAGCGCCTTTCTGGGCGCCTACAGGGCCTACCTGCCGGGTATAGTCCTGCCAAAAAAGAGTCCCTTTGCGACGATCTAACACTTATACATAAACCAGTGCTTGTAGAGGCTTCGTATAGAAAAGCGCTGCACTCCGCCTGGCAGGAGACGTGGACCATCGTGTAGGTCAGCACACAAAGCCCAATGCACTCCCAAGGAACTGGCACCATCGCGCACACAGTTTGCGAATTGCTGCGTGCTCAAGAAGGAAGATCTTCTTGCGACAAAGCTACACTACTACACTGACTACACTGCATAGTGGAGGCAAGCCTGCACATCGGCATACCGACTACGGCCCAGGACTTGGAGATGCTAAAGTCGCTAGGAGTACGGCCATTGTGTTCGGGCTGCTTCGAGTGGCATCGCAGGGTACGCTCAAAGAGCAGGACGGCACACCTCTCCTTTACAAGCAGCAGAGCAGAGCAGCAGCTTGAACTTCGTCTTTTCCATCTGGCATCGTTCTTTCCACTGCCCTTCCTCGACGCCTTAGTTTCCAGGTGAGAGGCGCCAGAGGCGCGAGCGAGGCGCGAAGGATGGAGACGGGAGAGGCCGAGCGCGTCTCAGGACGGCACCAGCTGACGCCAGCGCATCTCGATCTGGTGCTGGGCCTCAGAGAGAGAGAGAGAGAGAGCGAGAGGAAGCAGGAAGCAGAAGAGGAGTTTTCTGAGTGGCGCAAGTTCGGGTTTTCTGAGCGCAAGTTCGGGCTCGGCCGGGTTTCCGGGCCCAGCGGAGCGTGGGAGCTTCCACCTCACCAAGGGAGCGCCTCGGCTCCGCGCTCTGCGCTCCGCGCTCCGCGCTCTGCCACGGTCAACGTGTCTGCACTGCACTGCTGCTGCGCTTTGCTTATAAGAGCTTTTTTTTGATAAGCCTTGGGCGCGAAGGTCTCCGCCGGCCCCAGGCCTTCCCGCGTCAGGAGCTCCACGGCCTCGCGATGTCGCTATATACGCAGCTCTCTTGAAAAAAGCTCTGCTCTCGCCTGTTGAGAGGCTTGGTCCTTCAGTTGCTCCGACAGCAGCTCGCTCTGCGCCTGGGACTTCGAAGTCTCTCTCCGACACCGCCCGCCGCCGGCACCAGCGCCGGACCAGTCTCGCTTCCGCCTCCTCTTTGCTGGCCTTAGCTCGTGGACTCAGTCGTCAGTAGAGTAGTATAGCAACAACAGTAGCCGTAGCAATAATCACAGCAAAAACTGCAGCCGTAGTAGTAGCCGTAGCAATAACAGTACGTAGCAACAACAGCGGCGGTAGACGTAGCTGTAGCAGTAGCCGCAGCCGTAGCGGCACTGGCAGCAGTAACTGTAGCAGTAGATAGCCATTTAGTAACTTGATTGTTTTAAATGTTGGCTGTTGTGACGTGTTTTGTGGATTTCGCTCATTTGCATATAGGTTTTCCCGAGAGAGAGAGAGAGAGAGAGAGCGCAATCACAAACAGTAGCAGCAAGCCAACAACATGAGCAAGACTCACTTCAGAGGCCTTGGTGAAGGCGGTCTTACTCTCGATCTCCTGCGTGTTCAGCGGTTTACGGTTCAGGGGTTTCGGGTTTTAGGGT